TCCTCTCTAAGAGAAACTCAATGTAGAGTAAAAAGGAAAAAAAAAAAAAAAGGTACTTGGATAATTATACTACTACTACTACTACTACTACTACTACTACTATTACTACTACTAGAGACCCGGTGCACGAAATTCATGCACGGGGGGTGGTCCCTCAGCCCAGCCTGCACCCTCTCCAATCCAGGACCCCTTTGGGGAATGTCCGACTGCCAGTTTAGGCCCGATCCCTGTGGGACAACCAGCAGTCGGACATCCCCTCTCTCAATCTGGATGGCTGGCTCCTAACTCCTCACATGCCTGCCTGCCTACCTGATCGCCCCTAACCACTCTGCCTGCCAGCCTAATTGCCCCCAACTGCACCCCACTTCTAGCCTGATCACCCCCATCTGCCCTCCCACCCTGGCCGGATCGCCCCTAACCACCTCTGCCTTGGCCCCACCCCCATGGCTTTGTCCAGTCTAATTAGCATATTACCCTTTTATTAGTATAGATATGATATGTTTCTGCTTTACCTTCTTTTGTTCTTTCCTTCACTAATGAGCCTCCTACTACTGATATTTCCACTTTCCTTGCTCAGGAATGTTACTTTTTTTTTCTTACCCACTCAGAATCATTCTAGGATTAGAATGATAGGATTCTGCCCTATCCAGTTTGGCTTAGTGGGTAGAGCATCGGCAGACTGAAGGGTCCCATGCTTGATTCCAATCAAGGGCACATGCCCAGGTTGCCAGCTCGATCCCCAGTAGGGAGGGTGCAGAAGGTGGCCGATCAATGATTCTCTCTCATCACTGATGTTTCTATTTCTCTCTTGCCCTCTCCCTTTTTCTCTGAAATCAATATATATATATATATATATACTAATAAAAGATAAACATGCAAATTGACCATACCTCTGCAACACCCACAAGCCACGCCCACAATCCAGCCAGGTACAAATATGCAAATTAACCCAACTAAGATGGCTGCGGCCATGGAGCTGGAGTGAACAGGAGGCTTGAGTTGGCCCCGGCAATGGAGGAAGGCAAGCTTCCCGCCAGCCCTGCCGGCCCCGAGTTCTGCTCAAGCCTAAAAGTTTCAATTACAGGAGATAAATAAATCCCAGATACCTGCTTCCAGCCAGCATGGCCTCCAGGCATGGCCTCCACTCAAGGAGGGACTTGGAGTTCCAGGACCTGGGCTCCACTCAAGGATACAGAGTTTCAATTAAAGAAGTTAAATAAATCCCAGATACCTGCTTCTAGCCGTGGCTTTGTCCAGCCTGAAAACAGCCCTCAGCCCCTCACCCAGGCTGGCCAGGCACCCCAGTGGGGACCCCCACGCTGAAGGGGATGTGGCCAACCTGAAAATGGCCCTCAGTCCCTCACCCAGGCTGGCCAGGCACCCCAGTAGGACCTGCACCCTGGTCAGGTCACCCTTCAGGGCAAACCAGCAGGCCCCCACCTGTGCATCAGGCCTCTATCCTGTATAATAAAAGGGTAATATGCAAATTGACCATAACAGCAGAACCACTGAGAATGACTGGTCACTATGACACACACTGACCACCAGGGGGCAGACCCTCAATGCAGGAGCTGCCCCCTGGTGGTCAGTGCGCTCCCACAGCGGGAGCTCTGCTCAGCCAAAAGCCAGGCTGATGGCTGCCAGCAAAGTGGTGGTGGTGGGAGCCTCTCCCGCCGCCTCAGCAGCGCTAAGGATGTCCAACTGCAGCTTAGGCCTGCTCCCTGCTGGCAAGTGGACATTTCCCAAGGGATCCCAGGCTGCCAGAGGGATGTCTGACTGCCAGCTTAGGCCAGATCCCCTGGGGAGCGGGCCTAAGCCAACAAGTGGACATCCCCCAAGGGATCCCAGACTGTGAGAGGGCACAGGCCTGGCTGAGGATTCCCCCCACCTAGTGCACAAATTTTTGTGCACCAGGCCTCTAGTATCTTCCTATATAATAAAAGGCTAATATGCAAATCGATCGAAAGGTGGAAGGACCAGTCGCTATGACGTGCACTGACCACCAAGGGGCAGATGCTTAATGCAGGAGCTGCCCCCTGGTGGTCAGTGCACTCCCACAGGGGGAATGCAGCTCAGCCAGAAGCTGGGCTCACGGCTGGCGAGCCCAGCAGCAGTGTACGGGAGCCTCTCCTGCCTCCGCAGCAGCACTAAGGAACCCTC